GGTTTAGATGACCCCAGCTAGATGCCTATCTAACCTCCTCTTAAAGACCCCCAGGGTAGGGGAGAGCACCACCTCCCTTGGGAGCCCGTTCCAGACGTTGGCCACTTGTGAAGAAGTTCTTCCTAATGTCCAGTCTAAATCTGCTCTCTGCTAGCTTGTGGCCATTATTTCTTGTAACCCCCAGGGTTACAAGAAATAACCCAGAGGTTAATGTGTTAACATTAATTATTAACCCGGGGGTTAATAATTAATGTGGACTGGCTTGAGAGAGCGCAAAAACTGATTATGAAATTTAACAAAACCAAATAAACTGAATAATATGGAATGTTAAACTCAGTTTGCAAAGCACAGAAATCAGCACCAGCACCAACAGGCTATTGAACTCTGCTGCCCAGAGACATGTGCTTACCTCATATATGCAGAGCTGTCGCCTGCCTGAGCCCACAAAGGCATGTGACACCAGCCTCTCCGGGGGGGGGGGGGGCGGCTCTGCCAGGTCAGGAGTCTCGACCCCTTCCAGTGTTGGCACTGCTGCCTGCCCCACGCAGCTGAGCCTGGAAAGGTGCAGTGCTCCCGGTAGGGCCTCTTCCCAGTGGAGGGGCTGGGCTTGGAACAGGCGGGAGCAGGTTGAGCTCAGCTGTGTGGGGCAGGTGGCAGCAGCAGTGCTGGGAGGGGTGGAGTGCCCCCCGCCCCACCAGGAAGAGGCTGGCACAGCCCTTGCTCCAGAGCTCTGGCATCAGGTCAGTATTGCCAGCGTGCATGTACATCTCGGAGCGGATGGTGGGGGAGTGGCACAGGTTGTGCTGCCTCAGGCCCCTCCCCTGCTGTCCACTTTGAGGTGCACATGCAGTTGCCACCAGCACAATGCTTGTGCACCTCAAAGTGGGTGGCGGGGGAGGGGCCTAGGGCAGCACAACCCCAGTCCCTACCCTACTGTACGTGTGCTGAGCAAAATGGCTTCATGTGCCATCTCTGGCAAATGTGCTGGGGGTTGCTGACCCTGGTGTACAACATTTACTTGAATCCAAGATGAGGTCGTGCCCATCTCCCTCCACCCCCCACCCCCCCCATTTTAAAAGTCCCTTGTCTCGTATTTGAGTACAAGTTGGGGTGGGGCGGGCAGCAGAGGGCAGGCAGTTGCAGTATTTCTAACTCCAACCCAGAGTCTGAGTCAGCTGCAATTGCTTGCCCACCTCACCGCAGCCCATGCCCCATCCCCTACTCCCACTGCTTATCCTCTGGCTTTGGGGCATGAAGCACGTGGTTGCTCCAGCCTCATCCTGGCCATGCAATAGCAGTTGCTGTGGTGCCTGGCCCCAGCTGTTGCCAGCGTTGGCTGTGGCTTTATCTGGATCTGGATTTAGATCTAGATTTGGATCTGGAGGGTAAGCAGCAGTGGAGAAGGGTAGAGGCTATGACAGTCAGGTCGGGGGTGGGGGGGGAAGACTAGCAGCAAGGGGTACCAGACAAGGGTGGGGCAAGTGGTATGGGTGGGCAAGACAGGGGAGCTGGGGGAAAGCCATTTAACTCCCCTGCCGCTGCTTGCCCTACTGCAGCAGCGGTGGAGAACAAATATAAGACGACCCTCCAATAATTAGATTCTTAACATGGAAATTTCTAACAAATATATAATTTTTCCATGTGTAAAGTACAATTATGTGGGGGCGGAGTTGTCTTAAATTCAGAGTAATCTTGGATTTGGGTAAATACAGTAATGCTATATAAGAGGCAAGAATTTTTTTGGGTGATCTTTTATTGAACCAGCTGGATAGTTGGGAGGGACATAGACCTACTTTTTGAAACCTAAGGAAGGGCACAGTGTTACCCAAAGTTTGTCAATGTCCCTCCCAGCTATCCAGTTGGTCCAATAAAAGACATCACCCGCAAAAATCCTTGCCTCTCACATTTTTCCTATAACACCATGGCTAAAACAGTACCACAACACTACCAATATCATATTTTCAATTTAACATTTTGATTATCCCAGCATAAGGGTTGCTTAGCATTTTGCAGCATGTTTTTAATCAAACTTTTAAAAATAAGTTGTATTGTAATCTAGTATTATGAAATGTCTTATTCTATATTGTAATTTTATAGGTGAGCCAGTCACTGTGTATCGCCTTGAAGAAAGTTCTCCCAACACCTTGAACAACAGCATGTCTTCCTGGTCACAGCTAGGACTCTGTGCAAAAATTGAATTTTTAAGTAAAGAAGAGATGGGTGGTGGTTTACGTCGAGCTGTTAAAGTAGTATGCACGTGGTCAGAATATGATATCTTGAAATCAGGACATCTTTATATCATCAAATCTTTTCTTCCTGAAGTTGTGAATACTTGGTCGAGCATCTACAAAGAAGACACGGTGTTACACCTCTGTTTGAGAGTAAGTCGGTTTTCATTCTTGTCAATCAGTAGACAAAGAGGCAGCATATATTAAAAGATAAAAAACACACTGCTCAAGCTAGCATATTCTCCAATTTTTAACTTGTAGAAAGAATTAAAACAAGCATGTATTTATACACACAATCTTCAGAGAGATGGATATGAACCTTCCTGCTGCATTTTGCTTTCAAAATTCCCCCCTTCGTTAATTTAACATAATGATAACATATGGGCTTTTAATTATAGGAAATTCAACAGCAGAGGGCAGCACAAAAGCTCACATTTGCTTTCAATCAAATGAAGCCTAAATCCATTCCATATTCTCCAAGGTAAGTATCTTTAAATGCTTGTTTACATCCTGTATGCTTTCATAGTATGTTAGTTTGGAACAAAAATGTCCAAACATTCACTTGTGAATACACCTTTGGGGAAATATCTTTTCCTAATCATATCAAGTAAGGACTCATAAATGTCATAATTTAGATAACTGTGTATTTTATGATGTATAAAGGTTTAAAGATCGCTTCAAAGGTTTAAGGTAGGTACCATGTAATTACATTATTTTGTTCCAGAAATACTTATGTAATATGTTCTTTATAAGGTTCCTGGAAGTTTTCTTGTTATATTGCCACTCAGCTGGACAGTGGTTTGCCGTTGAAGAGTGCATGACTGGAGAGTTTGGAAAATACAACAATAACAATGGTGATGAAATAATTCCAACAAATATGCTAGAGGAGGTCATGCTAGCTTTCAGCCACTGGACTTACGAATATACAAGGGGGGAGTTGTTGGTACTTGATTTGCAAGGTAATATTCTTTCTTTGAAATTGAGACTGGGGACACAGTGCATTTTAAATTTCATCTGTATTAGCAATTTAATTAATGATTTTTTTTAATAGTCTTTGTAGCATTATATAAAAATAAGCTTAGGTCTACTTTATGTGATTCAAATGCAAGTGTAGCTGATGTGCCATTACAATATTCTTGAAAACTCTTTGGGTTTCTTTATTTAGACTTATATGCTGCCCTGCCCGCCCCCCCCCCAAAAGGGGTAAGGGTGGCTTAAAATAAAAACGGTATCTCAGTTCAACATTTTTCTTTTTTAAATTTTCCACATTAAAAATAATTCTCACTGACTGTCAGTGGGGTCTTCAAAGCAAAAACTAATATACAATGTACTAAAATTATTTTTAGTTGCCTGACAGACTCAGAATCTCTCATAAACAAAACATCTTTCCTTTGGGCAGCATTCTCCTTCCTTCTGCAAGGCCTAGGATGGTGATTCTCAACCAGGGTGCTGTCAGCAACCTGGGGTGCCCTGAGATCCTTTCAAGGATGCTGTGGGGTGCCTCTCATTGTTAGCATTATTAGGTTTGCAACCATGGTTCACAAGATTACATATAGGTGTCCATTGTCAACAACATTCAGACCTGCTATGGTCTTTCTGAGTTCTTTGCAACAGAAGAATTGCTCTATTTAATTTGTCTGTAGTCAAAAAATGAGTAAAAAAAAGAGCTGGCATTTTCTGAGGGGTTCATTAAGTCTGTTGAGGGGTACCTTGAGTCTAACAAGATTGGGAACAATTATAAACTTTTAGAATGAGGCTGATATGAGATTTATTTAAGTGCTTGCACTCTGCATAAGAGTGAATTGTATCCCATATATTCTGAGTTCTTTCTGCCCATATATACCTTGTGAAATTGTAACTGATAATACCAAGGATTTGAAGCATAATGCATCTAAATGTACTATCACATATAACTTTCTTCATGTTCTGTGTGAAGGTGTAGGTGAAAATTTGACAGATCCTTCTGTTATAAAGGCTGGAGAAAAAAGGTAAGATTAATAGGTTTTGTGTTTTTGCTTTTTTTTAAATTTACTTGAGGACACCATACACACAATATTTACATGTACTTTATTTTTAAAGGTCTTATGATATGGTGTTTGGTCCAGCCAATCTAGGAGAAGATGCAATCAAAAACTTCAGAGCTAAACACCACTGTACTTCCTGCTGCAGGAAGCTTAAACTTCCTGGTAAGAGTTTTTTGTTTTGTTTTTTTCTTACCATGCATTGTAGTTGTCACGCAATGGAAATTAGATAGCTCAAGAATGTGGAAGAGTAGTAAGTAGCTCTGTTCTGGAATAATTTTTTTCCTAAAAAATTGTTTTCAAAATTTGTAAATGAAAAATGTATAGCAATTTGTCATCCTAAACTAAGGAATATATAGTACCTATTGTTGTCTTCCTGAATATTTAGTCCCTAAGGGAATTTCAATTAGTAATTGAAGCTGGGAAAACTACATTAGATTTTAGAGGACATTGTAGGGAAGCAGTTGGTCAGTGGTGGGAACAAGGGCTTAGTGATCCAGTAGGTCCTCTTATCTTTTATGATTTTATATTATATTAACACACAAACTGCAAAACCAGAGTCAAAATTCTAAAAAAAAGGATGATCCATCCAGAGGTATATGATAGCTTCTATTTGACTTGGTCTGAATAATCAATACTGCCTCATCTGGATTTGGGAGAACATAGACTATGGCACCTGTGAAGAAGTTTAGTAAAATTTATTTGCTTAAAACAGACCATTGTTTCTCTTCCCACAATCTACTTCAGCTTTTCACTTTCTGCAATAAGTAAAGCACAAGTCTCTTTTACTTTGCAACCTTTGTTTCATTTCTTTTGCAGACCCTTCCCTGTATGTATGAGGCAGGGGTCCTATAGAAAAAGCAATCATGAAACTAAAGATTATATTTTAGCACACAATAGCACATATATCAGGGGTGGGCAAAATGTAGCCCGGGGGCCAGATGCGGCCCACCAGGCCATTTTATCTGGCCCGCGGGGCCCCTAAAAAATTTAGAAAATTAATATTTATCTGCCCTGGGCTGCTTGTCATGTGGCCCTTGATGGCTTGCCAAAACTCAGTAAGTGGCCCTCTGCCTAAAATAATTGCCCACCCCTGACATATATTAACGTGGGGGTCAGATTTAGGTTGGATAGATATCCTTGTAAGATGCATACACTTTTAGGTCTTTCACTTTGCAGTATTTGATATCCTAATTTAATTTCTCTTTTTGAAGTTAAGAGCACATTTAGAAAACATTTTGTATACGTGGCTCTTTAAATTTAGGAAAGATTTTCAGACCATATTTTTTATTTAAACCAAAAAATACTAACTGTTTCTCTCCTTTCCTCCCCTCCTTCCCTGTTCCCCCTTTTGACATGTAGATCTGAAGAGGAACGACTATACACCTGACAAAATCATATTTCCTCAGGATGATTCGCCAGAATTGACAATTCAGCCAGGAAGCTGCACCAAAGAATCAGAATCAACTAATTCTATTCGTCTAATGCTGTAATGACATGACCAAATCATTGGCTTCACTTAAACTTTACAAAATGTCATAAAGTTGTCACTTACTATTCTCCACTGAAATTTAGTTTATATTAGATGAAAGAGCTATCAGAATAAGGAACTATACATTTTAAGTGGAATTTTGATGGACAGTCTATCAGCTAGGGGACCTGACAACTTGTGGTAACCCCCTACAGAGAATAGCTGGCAGCTGGTCATTTTAAAGGTTCAATAATGGCAAGCATTTATGATGTGTTTTTAAAAGGGGCTTTTTAGCAGAAGCTTTATCTTTAATTTTATTTTGGTTTAGTGGAGGATCTTTTCTCTCATCCTGTGGTGCAATATACCCTTGACCAAAAGAATTTTGGGGGTCTGATATTTTAAAGGCAAAAATGTCTGTTTGGCAGGTGGTTGACTGTCAGCCAGCCAAAAAAAATGAAGAAAGCACCCTTCCTCTTAATGTTAGATGATTCCCTAAGAAGTTATAGAGGTATCCCACTAATGTTTTTTCACTTGATGCCGTATGTATTTCATCTGGCCCTTTGGAAGGGAACAGATCCAAAGGAACTAGATTCAGTGCCAGTAGGCTAAGGTTGAAGGCAGAAATTGATCTATTCCAATAGAGTTTGTCTCCTAAATCGGGATTTAGCTTCACAGGTGTGAAGCCTGTTTTTGTGGAATAGAGCTGTAATAGTGCACAATGAAATTTCTTATTTTATACATTTCATTTTTATCAAGTCACTGTCAATTAGTAACAAATAAAGCCATGGTAGACTGGTATAATCACATTATATAGAAGAAAGTAGAACGTACTGGTCCAAATAAGTTGCCTTGTAAGAAAACAAGTTGGGGAAGTGTTTGTTTTTTCTTGTATGTAGTGACTGCTTCAGAAGTTATTCCTTCCAAAGATCTCGTAAAACCAGTATATCAAAGCTGAATGTACACATGAACCTTTAAATGTGTTTAAAATTGTGTAGAAACATCTTTAATGTTACGTTATTTGTGGTACTTATTTTAAAAAAAGGCTAGGGTCGGATTAGCATTATGTAAAGTATGGGAAATTGCAATGCACCTTTACGCCAATAAAATGTAATTTAACTGTCCCAAATATTGTTGAGAATTCAGCAAGAAAAACCTGTTGTCCACCTGAAGGTTCATGCTGCGATATTTTGTTTTGTTTTGTTTTTTGTTACATAGGTACTAATTTGTAATTTTTAATTGAAGGGCAATATAAAGCTCTGTAAATTTTTTTTTATTCAGTAGTGTATCTTATAGATACAGACCTAAGGCACGAACACACTAGCTGTTTAAATGGTGTTTTATGTTGATGGGGGGAAAGGAAGGTGTATTAAAGATATAATAGTGTATACATTTTGTATATTATTCAATCTTTAAAGAATCTGAAATAAATTTATTCTTGTTTACAGATTTCTAATGTCCATCCTTTCTTCCCTGAGAGAATTAGCTTAAAGTTACACCGGAGAAATTTGAATAACTATGCAGGAACATAAATTTCCATACTAGTTCAGATGTTATCCATATTTTGAGGTATCTTTTCTCTTTCATGATGACCAATTCCAGAGGCATGAAGAAGGTATAAAAACTCCCCTGCTGGATATTTGTGCAATAACTTGAGTAGTGAATAAGTACAAGCATAAATATCTTCAGCTACTTAAAATGTTTAATCAGAATTAGGAAAACATTCCATAAAGGTCATCTGTGTCCTTGTTTTATTGCCGTTGAGTAAGCTTGAGAATACATTTTAATATATGGAGAATACATTACATAATTTTAGCCTTAAAAATTTAATTTCTTATATAGATATATTCTTTAACAAAAAAAATCAGCAGTTCATGGAACAGGTAAGGCCAATTTTTGCAGTTCAGAGGAATTTCTGTAGTGAATATTTTACTATCCTGAAAGGACCCACAACAGAATTAAGATTATAAAACACAGCAGTTATTTCAGGGGAAAAAATAGAACTTTTATAGATATAACTTACTTGAAAGCCTGCATAGCATTTTCAACATTTGACAACACAGTTACTTATACACCTGCAGCTCAGGTTGTAAGTGTATATGTACATCCCATATATATCTCCCAACATAGACATTGGATTTTTGATATATTATAATCTGCCTGGCAACTGACTCCCCAGCCCAGCCCCTGGCTTCTTTACTTTTCATTCCATCCAGGAAGAGCACACACCAACTGCTGAAACTTACTTAGCCTGACGAAGGGTTTTTGAACCCAAAAGCTTGCTTAATAACTGTTCTCCAACTATTTGGGTTGGTCTAATTAAAGATATCAAATTCACCAAGGAACCTTGTCTGCCTATGTACATCCCATACATCCTGCTGGCTTGGATTCAGATTTGTGCCATAAAACTCAGGTTTCAGTCAGAAATGTCAAGTAAACCCAGAATTAAAAGCAAACGAACAAATCCCTCCCCCACCCCATTTCACAATCTTAATCCTCCTTGAGGTCAATATAAAAATCCTAAAATGTAATTTTCTTAGGTCAAGTCATTTAAAAGAGGTCATGCCAAAAATAGCAGAACTTTTTTTTTTTTTTTTTTTTTTTTTTTGAGTGGACAGCTTTCCTTTTTTATTTCTTCTTTAAGTGTGAAATATCTTGCCCGTTACCCTTAAATTTTCTAAAAGAACTGTCACTTAGAAAACAATTGACATTCCTTGGAATTCACTTGGTAAAGACTTAAATTGAAACCTAGTGGCAATCTTAACAGCAAAAAGGCTACTCTCTGCACAGAGGGGAGTCACTTTTCTTAGCCCAGAAAAGTTTCACAAAACATCTGGGTTAGGATTTTTACCTCAAATATCAGATCCTACTTTTGGCTATTCATTATAACCTTTAATACACCAGGTAAAATGGGTTATAGAGGCAACAAAAAGATAAGGTTGAAGAGGATTGTTCTGAATCATCTGGGAAAAAAAACAAACCAGTTGCTTTAGTATATTCTTAAATGCTGGTTTAAATATAAACCATACCTTTCAATATCTTGCATAGGTTCAATAAAATTTATTTCATGAACTCTGTTTGGCTTTTAAAGAAACAAACAAAAATAAAGTAACTTAACATAAAGTAAGTCCGTCTTGTACGTGATAATGGAATAACTGGAATTATTAGTAATCTTTAACTTGGCTTCCTTTGAGAAAGTGCCAACTCATTTCCACTAACATGAATCATCACCTCTACCACGAGTTATATCTTTTATTAGACCAACTAGATTTTTGCAAAAAAAATTGTTTAATTACAAGCTTTCGGGCACAAGCACCTTTCCTCAGGCACTGGAAAAAAGATTGTAAAACTTCTCCTGGGTAGAAATGAAATATATTTCATAGGAGAGTTGAAGATGTGGTAAAAATCTGTTTGGAACAGTTCATTTCATATGCAGATTAGGGTGAAAGAGAGGTTGGAATAGTCTGTTTACCTCAAAGAACACTTTCAGGCAAACTTTCAATCATGTCAGTCATTGAAATGCAACAGAGACAGTAAAGGGTTTTCCTTGCAGTAGTTCAATGTGGACATATGCCAGAGTAAAATACACTCCAACTACGCAGTCACAAATGCATAAAGGATGGGTCCACCCAGAGGCTGATTCCCTATCTACAGTGAGAAATCACATGACCTGAAAAAGGCGAGGCTTTGTTTTTCAGCCTGTTACTGCAACTTCTCATACCAGTCCAGCTCTTCCTGGTTATATTTACATTAATGACAAACAGCTTATAATCATTTGAGAGGAGAGAGGAGAATTTACAACTGAAATCATGGGAGTAACAGTACATGTCGAATACTGGTAAGAGATCACTTAGAATATTTAAAACATTAAGTCTTCTGATTATTAAACCGTTTCCCTTTTTTATACTTTAACTTTTGTTCCTTTTACTTATGGTAGGTTAGTTATCTGGAAAGCAACAGCAGGTTAATACTGAGGCCTTGGTATAGAGAGAGACTGCTAACAAATCTTCAGTTGCAGGATCCAGAGCCTCAATTTGGTTCCAGAAAACAGGGATAATGTTGTATCTGGTACTAAAGCTTTTAGCATATCTGATTTAGTATTTAGCCGATGAGAATTTAGATGTATTAATACATGTTAACTATATACTCTTAAAAATATAACTTGCACTAGTTCAGTTATTTAAATGTACTGGAGTTTCTAATACATTTTTACAAAAATGTAGCACAATCAGTTTCGGTTTTTTTCATTTTTAATCAGAAATAACTTTCCCTTAAACGTGCTTCATCCATATCAGGAGCATCTGTGTTAATGCTGCTATTAGCCAGTATGCTAATGTAGTATGAAAATAACATAATTAACTTACATGTTCAACAAAAAATAACTTAGTGTATTTATACACAGTTAAAAGTAAAACGTTAGTGACATTTGTGTTCCTCCAGCATCATTTCATAGTATTACACTGAGTTAAATTTAAGTGGCAGCATGTGGTCTGGAGGAATAAACAGAAGTTCACATCCTCTTCTTCCATTTATTCTAAAGTCTCTAATGTTTTTCATCCATTTCACTCTTTGTGAAATAGACAAATACCACTAATTCATCTCAGAAGGAGCATTTTAAGGAAGAGTCCATTGATGAAGCCTTTAAGATGCCAATTACTTTAAAGTGTGTTTCATATTCTCATTACTTTTTAGAAACAATCTCCCCTCTTCCTTTCTATTTTTATTTTCTTATTTTTGTGTATTTTCCTTGTCTACTTTTATTTCCTTCCCCTTCCCCTCACCTTCACAACTCTTTTCTCCATCTGTATTTTTTTATATTTTGGCCACAGTTCAACTTGGAAAAGTTAAAACCTCAAGTTTTCTAACTATTTGAATTGGAGTAAAAAAAAATCTTAAATCAACTACTTGAAAGGAAGGCTTATAATATTTTCTTACTCCACAAAGCAACTTTGTTTCCAAGAAACAAAGGTAACACACTGAAATACTAATTGCCTGTATTAAGGTTCTAATAAATTTAATGCAGACATTTTTTAAATGCACGTCTCCTCCTCCCCCCAACTAACGAAAATTAACACACCCACATTCAGCACAACTTTTAAAAATACAACTAAATTTCAATGGAAGACTGTCTTAAAGAAAAACTTAATAGGTATCAGGAACAACATGGAAACAAATTTACAGTTTGTTTTCTCTGCCATTACAGAAATATGTTTGGAGAACTATAGTGCTAGAAATCCCCTGATCAGATTAGTAGCTTTGTTTAGTAACAGAGCAATATTAATGCACATTGTTTGTAGCTCTGGCCATATAAAAAATTCTTACTGTAAGTAAAGACCATGGATGAAATTAGTCACCTCACTGAAAATGTGAGTTTAGATACTGACTTTAGAGGTACCTGTATTTCATTTTGTGAACGTTCAGTAGAAAATTCATCATAACTGTATGCTCTTTACCCAATTGCAAATATAAGGTATGTGTCATGTTGTGGATGCTAAACCTTTGTTTTTATTTATTTGCTTTTACAGTGGAGGATGAGGGTATGCATCCCGTTATCAGAAACTTGCTAAGGAAATCAAGGAGCAAGTTCCCGATGCGGAGATTTTGGGGGAAGAGGGGAGGAAAGGTAAGCTTACTGCAGAGGTCTGTAAAATGTATTAATAACACTTTGAATTACCTCAGCTAAGGGTTGTACAGTCTCGTGGAAGTGTATAGGCCCTACCATCCTATGCAGTTGTGGCATTCCATGAATTAATAACCCTGACTTAGTTCTTCAGTGTTTGTGTTGTGGTTCTGTCTCATTATTGAGCATAAGGTACATTGACAGTCATATGGAAAATGTGCTGTTAGTAGGACTAAAGATGAGGGCCAAGCCACAAAGAATCAGATGCAAATCTACATTTTCCCAAAGTTTTGGGCAAAAGAGGTGGGATTCTAATTGTGTCTAGATAAATATTAAGAAGATGGGCTGCAAAAAACTGTTAGACTAGCACCTGAAAAATCTCTCTCTTGCAGGAAGCTTTGAAGTCAAGATAAATGGCAAGCTGGTATTTTCTAAGATTGAAACTTCTGGCTTCCCTTTTCCAGAAGATGTAAGTAATGAATGCTTTTTGTTGCTCTGCATAATGCAACAGTCCCAGGGAGTAAAGTTCTCTGTACATAGCAGTAACTTTTGTGACCTATTGCTAAAAAACACTTTTCACTAATAAAGAGGGGAGGGTAAGCAGCCCAGATTGCAAGTGGAGGCCAGAAGAGCAAGGTCCACGCTGGGTGAGGGCTCAAGCTCTATTAGCCAACAGCAGTCCTTTCTTTTTACAAGCACTGATTGGCCACTCAGAAAAGGTGACACCAGGTAGAAGCAGGCTGCAGCCCTGCTTGCAGTGGAGCAGTTCTTCCTCCCCGCAGATCTTTCTGAGCAGCCAGCTTCCTTAGGTTGGATGCTGCAA